AATAAAATAGAATAAAAAAATATATAAAAAATTAATTATTCACTCTTTCAATAATAATTAGTCTCTTATTTATAATTATCTTTACTTTCTAATTTTATTTAATATCATATTTTTCTAATCATATGTTATGTCACTTACTTATAGAATTTTCCTTTAGTATTTTTATCAGAACACACATAGGCACTAACCCACAAGTGAATAATATCGTAATTACATAATTATATTTTATATGCATATCTAACACCAATATAAAATAAGTATTTTGAGGCTGTCCGAACTATTTATCTCAGGTTGTTAAACATTAGTATCTTGTTTAATAGAGAAGAAATTAATAAGAAATAAGGTAGAGGAAGAGGAAATAAGAGAGTGAAAATAAGAGAAATTGTTTTATTAAGAAGAAATAGAATGGAGAGAAATTAAAAAATAATTAGTCTCACCTTCTTATTTATTTTGATTTATTCATTTCTCTATAAAATAAACATTTTGAAGTTGTCCGAACTATCTATCTCATATTGTTAAACATTGGTATCTTCTTTGGTAGAGAAGAAATGAGGCAAAAATAGGATAGATAAAGAGAAAATAAGAGAAATTATTTGGTATGAAGAAATAGAGTGAAGAAAAACTTAAAAAAGTGATTAGTCTTACTTTCTTATTTATTTTTATTTATTCATTTCTTTCTCTTCTCTCTTATATATATCTTATTTCTTATATATCTCTCTTCAGCCAAATAACCAAACTTCTACTTTATTTTTTTTTTATATTTATTTTCTTCACTTTTTATTTTTCTATCCTCTATTTTTCACATATTTTTTCTTCTCTACCAAACACAAGCTAAGTGAGGTCAGCATTGCCTCTTTTACGGCCAATTAACATTTAAGTCTTTAGGGTTTAAACCCTAAACCCTCATTTATTACAGATTTCGCCCTTATGAAATTCCACCCTTTTCTAAACAAAAGTGGCTCATTTAATTATTGACCTGTTTGAGTTGACCCACTCATACATGAATTGCGTTACTAATCAAAAGAAGAGATACATAAAGATCATAAATATACTTAAAGCAGAAAGTTTGAAAAACAATTAATACTATATTAATGGGTCAAAATGAATGCACACTCTTATTTGTAGATTTTATTGGGTTAATGGGTTGAGACCCCTCCTAAAGGTAACGTCTTAATCTGTAGGCCAAAGCTTTTTAAATAGAAAATTTATTTTGTTACCTTTTTTTCTTCCTCATATTTTTATAATTTCTTATACTTTTGATATTTTAATATATTTAATTAATTAATTAAGTCATGTTAGACTAAACATTAATTAATAATTTTATAACAATTTAAATGTATTTTTAGTATATATAAAATGAATAATTTTTAATTTTAGTTTTCGTAAAATATTTCTTTATATTTTATCCATTTAAAATTATATTTTTATTCACTATTATTATATAATGAAAGTAAGTGATTATCTAAGATGATCCTAATAACCGTCGGTGATATTTTGTTTTTTAAATTTTTTATAAATCCTTCAAACAAATGTCATTTATGTACTTTAAAGTGATTATTTGAGACAAAAATAATAACTTTAAATTATAAAAGGATAAACATCAAAGAAAATATTTTATAATATAAAAATAATTTTCTTTTCATTTTTTTAGATTAAAAATAATATTTATAAATTTTAAAAAATAAAAATATACAAATTAAAATTAAAATTTATTCATTTTATATTGATTAAAAATATATTTAAATCTAAAAATAAAATAATTATTTCACACGATAACTTGATTTGGCCTATTTTTTATTGGTCAATCACAAATAAAACTTATTCATTCCGCGAACTCACTTTTATACCTAGCATTACCCCTGAGGATTAAAACTATTATTATTATTATTATTATTATTTTTTATGTATGTTTTACAACAACAACAAAAAATTATAATTGGCAACAAATTTGGTCTTACTTTTGTCCTAACATTTTTAATGCTATTGTCACGCTAGGTCTTTGGTGTCTCAATTAGTGTCTCATGTTTTTCCCTTTATCGGTTCTTAACTTTAAAATTATGATCCAATCATTATCTCATAACACATAACTACGAAGATTCAAACAGAAGATTTTCCCAAATTATTCTGAAAGTTTTACATTGACAATTTTATAACCGTTTAGATATAATTTATAGTAATTTATTTTCAATCCAATGGATAATGGGGTGTATCACAATTTAATACGTGTTTCATTTTTCTTTTATTGTAGTATAACTCTCTCAATACATATAAAAATATGCGTTGTCAAAACTGGGCAATTCCATTGTAGATATGACAGGTTACTCACCCACAAATATTCTAAGCTGGGCAATCCTCCCTAAGTCACCTCCTTTTTGAGTTGGCCAAACCATTAATGCCATCCATGATGTAAAAATGATTCTTATATGAGAATTAGTTCTTAACATTATGATGTGGGGGTATAGACCATTTTAATTCTGAAGTATATATATATATATATAA